CTATCTATCTATCTATCTATCTATCTATCTATCTATCTATCTATCTAATCCAGGGGGTCTTCAAACTTGACAGCATTAAGACTTGTGAACTTCAACTCCCAGAATTCCTCCTCCACTCGTCCTTCGCTCAGAAATTTTGGGAGTTGAAGTCCACAAGTCTTAATGCTGTCAAGTTTGAAGACCCTTGATCTAATCATTGCCTAGACCTTGATCCAAGAACAAAAATTAATATATGAAACTGGGTGGATAAAGATGGCATTGATAGGGTTCATGTATTGTAATAAGCCATTACCTGGTTCATTTGTTTTGGCATCGAATAATGAGTGAATTCAGCCAGTCTTCACTTTTATTTTAGTTGTATCTATCTTCACTTCTGACTCAGAGTTGCGTCTATCTTCCTGGCTTTTAATGAATCTCAGATTTCATCTTCCCGGTTTAATCCATGTTGACTCAATTTATCACGGACTCTGTTCTTGTGGCAAAATGAATGGCTGACTCACTTGTGATGAGCTGAAATGGCAGATTGAGGAGTTTTGTGGTACTGTGCAGCCAAGGCTGCAATTTTGGCTCACAGCAAAAGAATCTGGTCCGATCAGGGAGGGATCACAGCAAGCAGCAGTATGCTATTTATAATAATGTGTGCATGCCATAAAATGTAGCAACGGTTACACAAGTGTAAATGTATCTGTGAAAGAGAACATAATGCTTTGGAAGAACAAAGGGGCTATTATGGATTATCCTCTAAAATGTGCATCTGCATGAGAACTCCTAGCATTTGTGCTACTTTGCTATCTCCATTCACTTGAAGACAGCAGGGAGATCCAAATAGGTGCAGAAAAAGGAAGGTCTGTGGCCTGCAAAATCTAGCATTGATTAGCACAGAGAGAAATTACCACAGGACCTCATGGAGGTTACCCAATGTCAACCTCTTTAGGTGGTCCGGATCCAAAAATTGCTCCAAAAGAAATTGAGATGGGTTATAATAACACAATCTTACAAGCCTGATTGTGTCCAGCTTCCTCCTCCTCTTTATAGTTTATTATTCTCTTTATAAAGGAGGTGTACACTTGAACTACTTCTGACTATTATCTTGTTGTTCTGGCCTTTAAAGATGCTTTAGCCCTTTTGCCTTGACAACGGCTCCTGACTATCTTCATCAAGGTCATCTTTATTAGCTTTTTATCCCACCTTTATTACTTTATTATCAGTAACTCAAGGCAAAGAACATACATATTACTCCTTCCTTCTATTTTCCCCACAACAACAACAACTCTGTGAGGTGGTTTAGGCTGAGAGAGAGGGACTGGCCCAAAGTCACCCAGCTGGCTTTCATGCCTAATGTGGGACTAGAACTCACAGTCTCCCGGTTTCTAGGTCAGCACCTTTGCCACTTCACCAAACTGACTCTGTATTTGTCTATGGAGATTCTCAGTCATCCAGGTCATGGTTGTCCCAGAGGTGCTTTTTCAAAAGGCAACTAGACTTTCTTTTTTTTCCCCCTTGTCTGACTGACTGAAGAACTGAAGAAGTTTCTTGGATGAGAAGTGAAACGTCTTCAGAGGAAGACAAGGAAAGTCCATTTGCCTTTTGAAAAAGCACCTTTGGCTCTGTATTTCTACACTCAGTTTGCTAGGACTGTCTGTGTTCCAGTTATGCTGGGGGTGAGTTTACCTTTAAAATTTATTTCTTTGTTTCAGGATTTCCTGCTGCAGTTTGGATACTTACAGCAGCCGCTAGAACAGTCCTCCCATAAATTCACAGAAGAGGAGATCGAGGTTGCTTTGAGGTAAAACAAAGACCCCAGAGACATTAAACCAGAAACATATTTCAGGAAAACATATAAAGACTTTGGGTTATCCTGTCAGCAGTCACATCTAGGGGGCCACAAGGGAACCACAGACAAGCTCAGCACAACTTAGGCAACCGGGGGTGGGAGGGAAGGGGAGGGTATGCAGCAAGGGTCCTGCAGCCTGAGAAACTTGGATATTTAAGTAAACCAGGATCCACGCGTTGGACAATGCCAGTCACTGTGTGTATTCTTTTCTCCCTCCTGTTTCTGGTTCAACAGAGCTTTTCAGCTTGCTTCAGGACTGCCAACCACTGGGCAGGTGGACATGGCAACCCTCTCCCAGATGAGGCAGCCCCGCTGTGGTGTGGATGACCCCTTCAATGAAAAGACCCTCAAATATCTCCTCTTGGGTGAGCATCCCTCAAATTGCTTCCTGGAGGCCAGGTGGTTCCCGCAGAAGTCTTGTGTCTAGGGAAAGGGTGAAGGATTATTAAAAGTTGGAAGAAAGGGATTTCAATTGCCCTGAGATGCAGATCTCATCCTTGGGAATTCTGCTTCAGGGCCCTGTGTTTGAATCGAAAGCCTTTTTAGTGTTGGGATTCACATAAATAGAGAAATCACACCTTTTTTCAGATAGTAATAGCAATAGCACTTAGACTTATATGCTGCTTTACAGTGTTCTACAGCCCTCCCAAAGCGGTTTACAGAGTTAGCATATTGCCCGCAACAATTTGGGTCCTCATTTTACTCACTTCGGAAGGATGGAAGGCTGAGTCAACCAACCTTGAGCCTGGTGGGATTCGATCTGCCAAACTGCAGTGGGAGTAGCTTACAGTACTGCACCCTAACCACTGCGCCACCGAGGCTCCATTAGATGCTTTTATGTAGCCCGAATGGCACATTCGCACACAAAAGGGAATTATCACCCTTGTAGGAGTCCCAAGGTCTGCTAAAGTAGGTGGGGGGGGGAACTGAGCCAGGCACCCCCAAGTGAGGGAACATCTTCCTTTGTTACTATCCCTCTTCCTTGAAGGATGTTCCTACCGAGATTAGATTGGCTCCCATCCCGCTGGTTTTTCAGAAAGTCATCAAAACGTGGTCCTTCCAAAGAATCTCATAGATTGGTGATAAGCGGCTCTCTTGCTGTGGATTTTTTGTGTGTGTGTGTGTCTATTCTTCAGGGCACTGTTGCTTTGTTTCTGTTTGGCTTATGATTGTTATTCAAGGGTATTGGGGTTTTCTTTTGCTAGCAGCTTTGAGTCTTGTTGGACTGAGCGGCATATAAATTGTAATACAGGGAGAAATCCTGAAAGATAGAGCAGCGTAGACAGAGCAGGCTCAGTGAACCGAGAATACTGGGTGGTTATTTGGGAGCTCGTCAAAAATTGCATAGAGGAAGGGTAGAAAAGAGTCTTGGAATCAGGGTTCTGTTCTACACGGCAAATTTCTGTTATTGGTGTTTTTAATGGATCATGACTTTCTATATTGTATACAAGTCAGCCTCGATTACGATCACCATTGAGCCCAAATTTTATGTTCCTAAGTGAGAAATTTGTTAAGTGAGTTTTGCACCATTTTACGAGTTTTCTTGTCACAGTTGTTAAGTGAAACGTTGCGTTTGTTAAATTAGTAACACTGTTGTTAAGTGAACTGGCTTCCCCATTGACTTGGCTTGTCAGAAGGTCGCAAAAGGGGATCAAATGGGGCACTGCAGTGGTCATAAGTCTGAAACAGTTGCCAAGCATTCAAATTTTGATCGTGTGACCGTGAGGATGCTACAAAAGTCATAACTGTCAAAAATAGTCATAAGTCACTTTTTTCAGTGCTGTTGTAACTTTGAATGGTCACTAAATGAACTGTTGTAAGCCAAGGACTACCTGTGTAATCTTGCCTGCAAAAGACCCATGAAGGAGGTGTACCTACATACCACAGGAAGTCTTCAACTTACAAACATTCAAAATTAAAATGGTGATGGAAAAAATAACTTACAAACCGCTTCTCGTGCTTACAACCACTGCAGCATCCCCACAGTCTCACAATCAAAGTTTGGGTACTTGGGAACTATCAAATATTTACAAAAGTTGCAAGATCACATGACCCCCAGCTTTGGGCAAGCAAAGTCAGTGAGAGAAGCCAGATTCACTTAATGAACACCTGATTTACTTCACAATTGTTGTGATTCACTTAACAGCCGTGGCAGAAAAGGTTGTAAAATGACTCATTTAACAACTGTCTTGCTCCACAACAAAAATTCTGGTCCCAACTGGGGTTGCAAGTCAAAGGCTACCTGTATATCCACGCTTGGCAGGGACAAACCAGTATTATATGAGTAAGGTTGGAACCTATGTGGTTTGCTAGGGAATTAAATCAATGCGCCCCCCCCCCCTTTTTTTTTTTCCTTGACAAGACATGATTCCATTTTTCAATTCAGTTCAAAAAAGGGTTTATCTCATTGGTAAGTCTTCCTGGTGCTGATAAGGTAAGATATGTGGAGACTGCTACTATTTCTTATCAAGGGAGATAAGACCGAGCCTCTTTCCCAAGCCATCACTTGCCAGAGGATTCTGGTGGATGTAGAAGTTCTTTTCAGTTTGGAGAAAATAAGAATTAAGAGGCTTGTGGCTCTTCTGTAAGTTCTCTGAACATTATAATCATCAGCAAAGAGCTGGAAAGTGTCTTAAGAACAGGTGGCTATTTTCAAAGGCACCTGGTAAGCTGGTAAAATCTATAATTGATGGATTACAGCATTTTTCATGATGATGCCTTCCCTTCTCAATTAGGATGGCAGCTACATCTTCTCATCTTTCCTACTGTCTTCCCCTATTGGTATCTTATGATTTATCACTTGCTGTTTGTATCTTATGATTTATGATTGTACCTCATGATTTATGATCTATGACTTAGTTTGTTCTTTTTATGTGCACTAAATGCTTATGCACTGGAGACAAATTCCTTGTATGCCAAACCACACTTGGCCAACAAAGAATATTCCTATTCTTATGAATATAGTTTCTCCCATTTTTCTTAAAAATATTTGAGCCGAGTTCAAAAATATCAGAGCTACTGTAAGTTGGGAAAGACATTTTGTGATTTTTAAAAGTTATTTTCATTTTAGAGATGGGATACGGAGACCAAAGTTTAAAGAAAAAATAAACAGTCTGATATGGGGCTGTTACCACAGATGAGGGGTCTTCAAACTTGACAGCTTTAAGACTTGTGGACTTCAACTCCCAGAATTCCTCCTCCAGTCATGTTAGCTCAGGAATTCTGGGAGCTGAAGTCCACAAGTCTTAAACATGCCAAGTCTGAAGACCCTTGCCATAGATTAACACAGCTTTTTTTCCATGGTGAGGTTAAATACAAACTGAAAGTCTGTAACCTACTTTGTAGCTCCGCTCTGAAGCACTGATGATGTTACTTAGGGTAATGAAACATCTGCAAGAAAACAAGCAAACTCAGAGAGAACCAAGGACCCTTCACTCTGTAGCTTGTCCTGAAACTTCTACTTCTAACCCAAATTGAGATTTGCTATGTTAAGCTCAAACAAGGCTTTGATATTAAGATATCAGTGCTAGAGTCAAGGACAAGTTGCCAACCAAAATCTGACAATGTAAGCCATGTGCATTCATTTACATTACTTTTATCTTGCTTTTCAGTGTTCAAAAAAAAACTAATCCCAAAGTAGTTTACTGTCAGATGTTAACTTCCTGCATGTGGTGAGCTGATCATAGAATTTATTCTGCTGTAGAAAAAGTTCCAGGAAATAATCTTAAAATAATAATCTTAAAATAAGCTTAAAAATCTTTAAAAAGGGAGTACATGTAACAACATGCAAGTGTGGATGGCTAATATTTTTCATATTTGGGGATGTTCTTGCTGCATCAACTTGTCCAATTAAACGCATTCAATACAGATAGTCCTTGACTTACAACCATATGTTTAGTGACTGTTCTAAGTTACAGTGGCACTGAAACGTGACCCAAGAGCATTTTTCAACACCATTGCAGCATCCCCATGGTCGCGTGATCAAAATTTGGAGGCTTGACAACAGGCATATATTTTTGATGGTTGTGGTGTCCTTTTGCAACCTTCTCACAAGCAAAGTCAATGGGGAAGCCAGATTCACTTAACAACCATGTTACTAGCTTAACTGCAGTGATTCACTTAACAACAGTGACAAGAAAAGTGATAAAATGTGACAAAACTCCCTTAATAATCGTCTCAACAACAGCAACAGAACTTTGGGCTCAATGATGGTTGTAAGTCGAGAATTAGCAGGCAATCATTTCAACTGTAAGACTTCCACTTGCTATGAATTTCCTCCATGTAAACCGATTTAAAAAAAACGATAAAGGAGAATATTTGTAGCTCAGGGATAACATGAGGGGTCCTTGGAACTCTCTGAGCTTAGTTCTTTTCTTGAAGAAGTTTATTTAATCAGAATAAGTGACATCATCAGTGACAAAGATCAAAAGCGGGTCATGCTGAGTTTGCAGAGACTTCATGGAGAAGTCTAGGTAATTTTCTGGCTGTAATACGGAGGCAATTTTTCCCCCTGACTTCTTCCATGAAGTCTTTCAATTTACCCAATTAGCTTATAGCCCAGGAATTTTTTGATAGTCTCCATCCTAACCAGGCCCAACTATTAACTAGCATGCAAATATAAAGCAGTTGCACATTGCAGTGAAAGATAATTGACCCTGGAGAAACTCTCCAGAATTGGGATGTCTCCCCTTTTAAAGATCCCCAAATGTAGAAGAATTTAAGAAGGGGAAGAAAAACAGTTCCTCTGCCTCAGGAAAGTAGAAAGGTGAGAAAGAGATTCAGAAAAAGTCTATCTCGACTTTTCTTTTGTCCTTTTAGAAAGGAGCAGCGAAGGGTTTGGGCAGGCTTTCAAGATTTTTGTTAGTGTATCAAATAAAAATGAAGTTGCTTTTCTGGCATTCCTGCGGTGTCTGGTCTGTCTCAAAAGGCTGATTTTGGATTTGCCTGGAAGTATCTTTGAATCTGCTTTGAGCTGATATGTTTGAGCAAAGAGATGCCCAAAGCCAAGATTAATGAATTAGTCTACTCACCCCACCCATGCTTAGTATGAAAGGAATGGACATGTAGCTCTGACCTAAAGTAGGAATTAGGACCAGCTTGTGGTGGTGGTTGTGGTTGTAATGGCCTGGGAAGCCAGTTTAACTCATGCTGACTGAAAAAGTCAGTCCAATAAATTTCTTTAGATTAGGGTATATTTCCAAGTATTGTAACAGTTTCTTTGAGGTTCCGTGTTGGTCTTTTGCACCAGAATAACAAAGTGATACCCTAAAGCAGGAGTGTCTATGGAGATTGTCAGTCATCCAGGAGAGAATTGGGGAGCGGGAGGGAGAGAGAGAGCTGGTAACCAAACTTTAAAAGTAGTGATGTCCCCTTTTTGTGTTTGTTTTTAGGATTCACACAAAGGCGGTGATTCTCCCAACTTTCCTCCTGCCTTATTTCTGTAGGGGAGCCAGTGCTCAGTTATTGATTCCTCTGGTTCTGTGCCTCCTTCTACAGGTCGCTGGCACAAGAAACATCTAACTTACAGGATCTACAGTTACAGCAAAGACTTGGGGATTCCTGCCACACGCACTGCAATCCAGGCAGCATTCAAGTACTGGAGTGATGTGACCCAGCTCACTTTCCAGGAGGTGCGGACTGGCCGTGCTGACATCCGTCTGTCTTTCCATGGTGCTTCTCCTTGGAGCTGCTCACGGTCCTTTGATGGACCCGGTATGGAACCAAGCAGGGCTGGGGAGGGGGTAGGGGGAGTTGGCTGGAGTTTGGATGAGAATAATGTTAGCAGAAATGGGGTAGAGCAGCTGGCAAGGATATGACAGAGCGCAAGCCTGATTTTGTTTTATTGATAGAAGTAGGGTATTGTAAGCAAGTATGATTGGAAATTGGACTAGGATTGGGGACGTCTAAGTTTGAATACCCCTCAACTATAGCACTCACTGGGTGTATTTGCAAATGTTTACCTCACAGAACAAAAGGGAAAATATTATAGTAGGGCGGTAAGAAACTGTTCGTACCATCTTTGCTATAAATGGAATGTACAATTAGTACCTGCCTTAGTGGTCATGAAGATGGATTGATTTTAAATCAATCAATTTTAAAGTCCCCCCCTGAATATAATGAATATGACAATAACATTGTTGAAAGAATGGAAGAACCTTAAAGAGGAGAACACCAATCCAGTACTGGATAATTGGGAGATATGAGAAAAATGTCTAAATAACCCTCTTGATTCTCTTAGTATATATGCAGAGAAAACTTAATAGGATTTCAGTTTTCTGCAACTATGTCCTCCAACAGAAAAGTGATGTTCCAGTCATCTTTGTATGGTTTGTTTTTTGATGTGACATAACTGAAGGGCTGATACTTTGAGAGATTTGGCCAAAATGTCTAAATTTCATCGACTGGTCATCTCATAATGTGTTAGATTTGAGAAGGATGTATTTTTCCACCTTGCTCAATCTGATAAATTGCCCGGAGGGAACTCTGACAAGAAACTCTGCACTGGATTTCCATTTAAATTTCTCTAGATCACAAAAAAACTGCCTTGACCAAAATAATTTTAATAACATTTGTAACAAAAAACCTCAGGAGTTTACATGCTTTACCTCCATTTTGTTCTTATGACAACTTTGTGAGGCAGAAGAGACTAGAGCAACAGTGAAAGTCTCAAGATGGTCCTAATAACATTCATTCATGGTTGTAACTCATTCATGAAGTTGAGCAACTCTTAGTCGAGTTGTTACATTACAAGGAACCTCTTCAATAGTGTAGAAATACTCATAATAGAATCATTTTTTTATCCTATAAGCAAAGAAGTTGGAGCAATTATAGATTCTTCTTGAAAATACTACTCAACTTGTTTGTGTAGTTTTTAACCTAACTCTTTAAAAGATGCTGTGTTTTTATGAAAAAAAAATAGATACTTGCCCTTTTCTGTTTTCTCTATAAAGATTTTAAACAATTATAATGTGCTTATTTTCACATTAAATCTGTATCATAAGTCTTACACTAATTTCAGTCTTAAACCATTTAGAAGGCAATGCATCAGATACGATGGTTAAGAAATTATATGTGTAGGTCCCTCCTGCCACATTTGGTGGCATTCCTACTTGAAGCAGCAGAATGTCATAGGAAAACTGGTGCTGGAGGAGGAGGAGGAGGAGGAGGAGGAGGAGGAGGAGGAAGAAGAAGGAGAAGGAGAGGGAGAAGGAGAAGGAGAAGGAGAAGGAGAAGGAGAAGAAAAAGAAAAAGAAAAAGAAAAAGAAATGGGGCTCTGTGTTGTGCAGAGGAATTGGTAGGATAAGCCAGATCTTTACAACAAGGGTGCAGAAGGATATGCCAAAATTGCAAATTAGTAACATTCAATCCTTTCTCTCTCTCAGGTCATGTATTGGCCCATGCAGATATCCCAGAATTGGGAACAGTCCACTTTGATTCTGATGAGTACTGGACAGAAGGGACTTCCCGTGGGATTAACCTCCGCATCATAGCAGCCCACGAGATTGGCCACGCGCTGGGCCTGGGTCATTCTCGGTACTCAACTGCACTCATGGCTCCTTCTTACGATGGCTATCGGCCCCACTTTCGCCTGCATCGGGATGACATCGAAGGCATCCAGGCCCTGTATGGTATGGAACTCAGCAGCCCAGAACACACCCCAGGTCCCTTGGGAACTTCTCCGCCCCAGTTTGCATGCAATTGGACAGGACTGTCATCCTGGCCTTTGATCATTCTTAATATGCTCAACTGCTCTGTCCTCTTTCTTTGTCTGTGATTGTGTGGCCACAGCAGCTGGAATTTCTATGTAAGGAAGGTGGGAACACTTCTGGGAACAGACAATTTGGGTTGTTTCTGGCTCGGCTTATGATAAGTTTTAAGGAGTTGAAACGAAAGCAGGATGACTGAATCATGGGTATGAACATAATGGATTTATGTGCAGTGTGTGTATATGTGTGTGTGTGTGTGTAGTGGTGCAGTGGCCTAGAGGTGGAGCTCTTGCCTCACAATCAGGAGGCTGTGAGCTTGATCCTAGTGTGATGACCCGGGCATGGCACAAAAGCAACAAAGTCACAAAAATGGGTAAAGTCCCTTTAATACCTCCATCTTGGCCCCCAATGTCCAGTTATCCTTGGCTGATCAAATTCTTCCAAAAACAGCCTACAAAGGGGAAAAATGCAGTCCAAACCCAAAGTACAGATAAATTAGAATTTTTTTTTTAAAAAAAACCATGCTGAAGTAATTAACACTACAGGCCAGGATAATAAATTGCAGACTTCCAAAAGATAACAAAGCACACACAGTTGGGAGGATGCCAAAACCCAGATAAGCCTCGACAAAGAGAATGCACGCTTTGCTTCCAGCAAAGTGCTGTGTGCAAATGCCCTTCTTATATCCTGTTCTCCCGGCTGCAACTAATGAAAGGGATCAAGGCCTTTTTCTCTCCGTAAGCCACATTGCTTCCTTTCCGTTCCTCCCTGCGTGCCCTAGGATGAAGAGGGGGTGACCCTGGGTCTTCCTCTGAATGCCCAGCCAAACTGTGCCCTTCCCTCATTTCTTCCACAGCCACCAGAGCCATACGCCCACTTCCTGTCAGCTCCTCAATCTCCCCCTCAGAGTCAGACTCCAACAAGGGCATGACACCTAGGAAGAGGCAGATATTTCTCACTCTGGTACACCGAGAATATATCTGCTGAACAAAATTCTGTACTGGTGACAGGAAGGGCATTCAACCATTAAAACACTCTGCTTGCTCCATTCAATTGCCCAGATTCCACCTCGCAAAGTGGATAAAAGATGATGTGTGTGTGTGTGTACATATGCACACACACAGTATATACAGTATGTGTGCGTGTGTGTATCTAGTTTGTTTGTTTGTTTGATAGTGCATTATTTCACTTTGAGACCACTTTTAGGTTTTAACCACTATGAATTTTTAAAGAAGAGCATCTAGAAATAGTTGAAATAACTGCATTGAATCTCATGTTAATTTACTCTGGGAAGCATATGAGCTGTAGACTTATTATTCCCCTGTTACATCTAATATGTCCAAGCCAGTTTTTTGTAAAACAAAAAGTGCCGACTATAGAGGGAAGAGAGATAACTCACTTGACAAATAACGAGCTTTCACTTTATGTCTTCCAAAAGGAGGGTTCCTTCTGGAGGGTAAACTCCCTGTTTATTTTCCATTATGCTTGCATTCTGATGCTGTCTTTTTTCCTTGCCTTTTCCTCTCACCCTCCCACTTGACCTCTTGGCTGTTCTCGTGTCTCCTCCGGTTAGTCCATCCCCTAGCAACAAGGAGATCTGTTCCCCACAATGACAGTCATGAAGGGATCTGATCCAGTGGTTTTGAAATCATGCGCAGAGGAAGCCAAGATTTTGTTGACAAAATTGGCCTGGACTTCTTCCTGATGCATTTCTAAACAAGCCTTTGAGTTTGGGAAAGCAAGTCTGGAATCAATATAATACGGTAGTTCTCAACTTAGGATGACATTTGGGTTTTGTCTCTAAGCAAAGTGGTTGTTAGGTGAATCCCCCTGATTTTATTTCTTTTTTTTGCTGCGGTTGTTAAGCAAATCTGGTTCCTCCCCCACCCACCCCCATTGACTTTGCCTATTGAAAGCAGGTTGGGAAGGTCGCAAAGAGCAATCACACGACCATGCTGTGATAGTCATAAATGTGCGATAATTGACAGATGTGAGTTATGACTGCGCTGGTGATAAGTCCGAAGGATGGTCATAAGTCACTTTTTTCAATGCCATCATCACTTTGAACAGTCGCTAAATGAATGTTCGTAAGTTGAGACTGTTTGTAGTAAGAGATCAGTAGTTAGCCAAACACATTGACAAATTCCCCCTCCCCCCTTTTTTTCATCCCAGTTATTTTCCCTGTTCTTTTAGGCTTGACTCACAATTCAATTTATTTTTTTACACAGGTAAGAAGAACCTGTCAACAACTGTACCTGAGACCACCCCTGCCCTCTCTACTGCCCCTGCAGGCACCCTGAAACCTAGCACAGTCCCTGATCCCTGCAAAGATGAACTGGACGCTATCATGTTGGGTAAGCCACCTCTCTCATCCTGGTTTCTAGAGCCAAGCTTATTCTTCCACCACCTGCAAGAAAAGCCAAGCTTGAACTCAGCAGCAGAGCAAACTTGATAAAGAGTACACAACTTGGGAAGCCTGCCATCCCATTAAGATGCTGGGCAGGGGGGCGGGGGCACAGAAGAAGACCTGCAGAGTCCAGATTTATGTCCTGGTTAGACAGATAATTGCTGTGGATTACTAAAGGGAATCCTGAAAGTGTGTTGCAGCCATCCTACTCTAAATCACTCTGAATGATGTCATAGAATTCAATGAGGTCACAGAATTGAGAAACAACAATATGCGTATGAATGATACCATCCATGAAACAGCAGCTGTTCAAGTGATTAAAGCTATCTGTCTATAACTCGGATGACCTGTTCATCCATCTTAATCCAGGACCTGAAGAAGACCCAGGATTTTAAGGAATACTTAAAAAGGCACCTGGATCTCTGGATCTCTCTTCCTGCTTTACCTGTTGCAACAGCAGGAGGAGGGGGAGGAGGGAGGAGGAGAAGGAGAAGGAGAAGGAGAAGGAGAAGGAGAAGAAGAAGAAGAAGAAGAAGAAGAAGAAGAAGAAGAAGAAGAAGAAGACAATAATGCTCTGTGTCTTTTCAGAATTAAGAAAAGCCAATTAGAGTCCAATTATTGATTTTTAATTCTTCTCTCCTACTGTTTAGGATCACATGATAAGACATATGCTTTCCATGGTGATTATGTGTGGATGGTGACCGATTTTGGAACCAACCCTCCATTGAAGATCTCAGCATTGTGGAAGGGTCTGCCTGGGAGGCTGGATGCCGCTGTGCACTCTCCCCGTACGGGGCGCACTTACTTCTTCAAAGGTCTGTGCATTGAGACGACCCCTCTCCCTTCAGCAAATGCTCTAACTTGATCCCTTTTTATAAAGAAAGTGATATATCTTTGCTGTAAGCTGCTCAAAGGTCACCTCTTGGCAAGATGGGCAGCACATTCATTTTATAATAAATAAAAACAGATTTTTCCAAAGGCATGTTCCACCTCCATTCTGATGATGCCTTTTTTTCTCTTCAGAAGGCTTCCAAAGTGAGTATAAAATAATGTAGTTGCCTCCAGGATAGGACATTTTCATACTAGTGGCTTCCCTCAGCCATTGTTGAAATGATCCAAAACTGTCCTTGCGGTTATATTGGCACATCAATGGGTAGATAATTTTAGAAGATAACGTTGCTAGCAAGGATTTGACCAGAGATTCTGTAGTTGCTATTAATTATAAACTATATTTTATAGTTTTTAATCTGTATTCATTCCATCTTGGTTACCAGGCACTAAAGTATGGCGTTACCGGGGATTCAAGCTGGATTATGGTTACCCCAAACCCCTGACTCGTATCCCCCCCAAGATAGATGCTGCTTTCTATTGGCCAGTAAATAAGAAGATATTCTTATTTAAGGTAAAAATACAAACCATGAGGCTTTAAACTTCTGGGAAGCATTAAGCTAGAAGTCATTTTCAACCAAAAAGATTCCTAAAATGGAAAATACAAGTTTGGAGATACATGAGACAGAGATACACGCCTGAATTATTAGGATATGAATTAGATATGCTAGGATGTGACATTGTTTTGGTAAAAAAAAAAACTCTTTTCTTCACTGTGGTTCAGATAGTAGTTTGTACAGATTCTCAGGCATATAGGTCATGGTTGTCCCAAAGAAACTTTTTTTCTGGAAGCAACTGGGCTTCTTGTTTTTTTCTTTGAAGGTTCTTTCTTTGTGGATCAGATAGTTTTTGTAGTTCATCCTTGCAACCTATGCTCCTTATTCTCTGGTATTTATGGAAGGAAAACAGAGGTTCTCTGAATCCAGGGGATACACAATCCTTGATGTACAATCGGTCACTTAGTAACCTGAATTTGAAGTTCCAACAGTTGGGCTCATAATCATGTGACTGAAGTTCAGGAACTTGGCAACATAGCTGTTTACGGCTGTTTGCAGTGGCCTGTGGTCATGGGACTGTGTTTGTGATGGTTCTTGCCAAACAATAGCACTTACTTCCAGGTTTTCTTGCAAAACAGCACCTATGGTTTGCTTAATGACCACTACATTTGCCTAATAACTACAGTGTTTGCTTAACGACCACAGAAAAAGAAATATAGTTTGGCAGGCTCCAAACTATATGTTGTACTTAGGTTAGATAGCCCTTGGCATTCAGCTGAACTACCTCTCAGAGGTGATATTCAGCAGTTTCTGACCAGTTCTGGAGAACCGGTAGCAGAAATTTTGAGCAGTTCGGAGAACCAACAAATCCCACCTCTGACTGGCCCCCACCTCTTCTCTGCCTCCCATTGAGTCCCAGCTGATCGGCTGGGTCTTCTTTGGTTGCCCTGCACAGGAGAACGGAGCTGGAAAGCAGGTTAGTGGGGTGGGGAGGGAATGGGATTTTGTAGCACCCCTCCCCTGCCATGCCCACCAAGCCACTCCCACCAAGCCATGACCACAGAACCGGTAGTAAAAATTTTGAATCCCACCACTGCTACCTGTCCTAAGCACAACACATATTTTCTTAAAATGGGGTTTGAGAGACTGAGGATAGGTTGAACATGTCACTAATAAGAGGCATGAGAAGAGAAGGCACAGCTGATTTAAGCCTTGTAGGAAGGAGGCCATATGGAGAAGGGAAGCCATTTGGTTTGTTAAGATATTTAAATTAGTAGCTGAAGCAGTAGGGTTGTGCAGTGTGCCAAAACACACAATTGTGGTTGATTGATTGGAGAGTGCACCCACTTGATCCTGCATGAGGCAATCTATGTTGTGATTGGTTGCTGTGGTTGTGAAGGGGGAGTTTCCCTCTTTTCTCACCTTTTTCTTCTGTGTGCCCTGCATCCTCTGGCATTTACCTCATGATGCTCCTGTGTGCCCGACTATCTCGTTTGCTGAAAATATATATGTAAAATATAATTATTTCTATAAAACTGCAAGTTCATGTCAGCGTCCCCTCTGCACAATTCCCTGAACAGACTTTGCTTAGTGACAGGAAAGAAAGGCTGTATCCTTAACATATAATGGCAGAGCCATTGATGATGATAGAAAGTTGGCTTGTTGGGTTGCCATTATGTTCTTTTCTTAAGCATTTGAGGAACGCTAGACAAATGGACAAAGGAGCTGCGAATGCTAGGAAGGGCATTAATTCCTTCTTAATCTCTTTTCACAGAATACAGAGTACTGGCAATGGAGTGAACTGGGGAGCCATTTTGTTAATATCCCTAGAAAAATCTCCACCCTCTTCACCGGGGCTCCAACACATCTGAATGCTGCACTAACCTGGGAGAACGACAAGGTCTACTTTTTCAAGGGACAGAGATACTGGAGACTCAATGACCAGCTTCGAGTAGAGAGGGGCTACCCGCTAAGCACAGCTGAGCGCTGGATGAACTGCTGATGTTTAGAGCAATGCTCTGGCTTGCAACTTTCAGAGACAGGCCCTTCTCTGAGCAATGAGATGTGCTGTTGTTGTTGTTTTAAGAGACCCCACAGTGACACCTACAGGTGATGGACAATTCTTCCGAATGGGACCAACTTGGGCAGAGGAGCAAAGAAAACCACTCATTTTGTGGAAACTCCGTTTCTGCTGAGCTTCTTCATTGCAGACATATCTACCTTTTTTAAAAAAAAAAATGCTGGATGTCAAAAAAATATCCAGATGATCTCAGAGGCAACATAGCTGCAGAAAGGACTAGCCCAGTTTCAGGATTCAGGAGACCTTGGAGACTGTACCTAAGAAGTCAGTCGGTAGAATAATAATATAACATGAGAGGGTTTTTTTTAAAAAAAGAGAACTTTAAGGGTATTTTAGATGTATCATTCCTTGTTCTATGGCGGTGTCTAGTCAAATAGAGCTGCAAAGTTTTAGAATATTGATGGTTCAGTTATTTGTATCTCTATCAGAAGAACAGCTAAGATTTTTTAAAAAAATATTAACGCTGAAATCACAAGGAAAGTGTAGGGAATATCCTGGGGTAGGGGAGTATATCTCTTGCAATGCATACAGACATGCAGACACACAAACATCATTGTTAGGGCAAACTGCAGATTCCATGGTAACAGTTTAATCTCATATATATCCAACAGGATGACTTGAGGGCTAGAATGTTGTTTCCAGTTCGGCAAAGTCTACCGGATTCCCAATTAAAAAAAAAGAATATTGTTATATATGTGTTTATGCTTTTTTCTTCTGACAGGGAAATTAATTTTCTTTCTGGTTTTGTTTAGGTGGGTACAACCAGGCCAAACATTTTGCTGCCTAAGGCAGAGCAGCACAAGCCATCCCTTCTTCTCCTTTGCACTAGTGTGGTTCAAAATGGTTATTTTAGTATCAGAAGCAGAAGATCCCAGGCGCACATTTCAAAACAGAGGGAAAAGTTACAGAAATTTAACAATGAACAATCCTTTCCTCTCCGTTTTACTTTTCAGATGAAGAGGGAGGAAATGTAGTCAGCTTATCTCAAAGAGGCTTGGCTACAAACAGGCCTGAACATAGTCATGGACCATTATTCCACTTTCATGATCCATTGCAATTGAAATTCTCCATTGAAAATAATTGGCTGGACAAGCATGAGCAACAGTCAATGCCAATCTGCCTTAAAACATTCACAATAGTCTTCTGTTACCCATGCAGAGGGAAACGCTAACCCTGCCAGAAAGTAGGTGGGATTCATTATCGGTTTTCTCAGAAGGAAGTGAAGGTCAGCTTGCAATTTCTGTAATACAGTTCTGATCTCATTTTGCAAGAAGTCACAGTACAGAATTCCCCTTTAGTACCATGTTGGTCACAATGCCACTGTTTCTACCACCACCACCACCGCCCTGCTGCCAGCTTTGAATCACTAAGAACAATGAACAACAGTCAGAACATTGTAGATTCTACAGCCACAAACTTCCATCCTGCCTACTCCCTCCTGCCAAGGCATCCTACATAAAGGGAAATAAAAGAAATGAAGCCAGATAGTCTGGTACTTTGACACTTTCATGTCATGCTGCCAATGGGGGAAAACTGACAGGACCTCCTCAGGTTTATCTCTGCAATTTTGGTTAACTATTGAGGGGAAGATGAGAAGCTGTCAAGCCAGCATTCCACTTGGAGGACCCGCTAGACCAGCTAAAACACGGGGATTAGGAGGAATGCTGAGGCATTACAACCCTGTGGATCAATTCTCCTTTTATGGCCCATCCCCAATCTCCACATATTCAAGCGAAAACGCAGTTTCAGAGTTAGTTATGTTTACATTATAGCAAGAAGTAATTGGGTTTCAGCTTCTGAGGAACAATGAGCAGGCGATCACAAACTTCAGAGCCAATCCCCATTTACATTTTTTGTACATTTGATTTGATTTGTCGATCACTTACAAGATACAGGTATAAGAATAAATATAGTTTTGAATACATGAGATAGATACTTATAAGAAAACATAAAAACAATAGGACAGGGACGGTAGGCACGATTGATGCGCTTATGCACACCCCCTACAGACCTCTTAGGAAAAGGGGTGAGGTCAATAGTAGACAGTCTAAGGTTAAAGTTTTGGGAGTTTGAGGAAGAAACCACAGAGTCAGGTAGAGTATTCCAAACGTTGATCACTCTGTTGCTGAAGTCGTATTTCCTGCAGTCGAGTTTGGTGCGGTTAACCTTGAGTTTGTATCTATTGTGTGCTCTTGTGTTGTTATGATTAAATCTAGGAAGGGTACAAACATTGTGCAGAAGGGCCCTAGTCCAGAAATGTCTATCTCATTTACTGCTTCATTTTTCCTGTCATCTCATCCAGCTGGCTTAGATTAGAAAAAAACCTGATAGGCACTCCAGTCAAGGAGCTGTGCTGAATGAATGCATCAGTTCTATTCCTACTTTCCAGGAATTTGAGAAGGCACCATATTGGGAGAGGAGGATACCAGCACATGGGCTGAGAGTGAGTGACTGGTCTAAAGTCATCCAGTCGGCTTTCATGCCTAAGGTGGGAAAAGAATTCAGTCTCCTGGTTTCTAAGTCAGGACCTTAACTACTGTACCAAACTGGGTGTGTGATCCTTCCAACTCCATAATTTAATGATTCTTCACCAATCTTCATCAACTTAAATTGGCTCAATCACATCTCTATCACATAGACGTTGAAATTACTGGTTGCCCTAATCTGGAAGAAAGCCTAGTTTTATTAATAACTGTATTAAGCAGGATAGTTTTTCTTTTTTTGCACTTACGTTGGTGCATTCCAAAAGTTTCTGAAACATTGAGCTTAGGGACATGCATGTAAAAACATTACAGATGTGTATCTGCTCCACATTGCAAACAGACATGAGGACTATAGCAAGGAATCCTCAAGCCTGCTTCAAATTTAACACACGATCAGACACACACTTCTGCAAGGGTAAAGAACTGGCTGTTAACCAGATCCTGCAGCCTTCAAAGCAGAACACTTGGCAAGTGGGAGAGAAATTGAATATCTAATCACCTGAAGTTTTGGGCTGGTGGGTACTACTTTTTGCTTAGTTTTTGTAATCTAGTTTTATAAAGCGGTGAATCTATTTCACTACCGTTTCCTAATGGGCATTCCTGGTTCCTGCTCACATTCGGGATTTTCTGCGTACACATGTACAGGTAGTCCTTGACTTATGACCCCAATTGAGCCCAAAATGTCTGTGAAGTGAGTTTTGCCCCGTTTCTTACCAGCTGTTAAGTGAATCACTGCAATTGATAAGTTAGTAACCCAGTTGTTAAGTTAATCTGTCTTCCCCATTGACCTTGATTATCAGAAGGTCACAAAAAGGTTGGGACACAGCAATGTAAACATGATCCAGTTGCCAAGCATCTGAATGTTGATCCAATGATTGAGGTCATAACTGTGAAAAACAGTCCTAAGTCACATTTTTCAGAGCCATTGTAACTTTGAATGGTCATTAAATGAACTGTTGTGAGTCAAGGACGACCTGTATACGTGCACACATACACGTGTTCTCTTAGCAGCAATTCCCCAAAACAAGAAGGTGGTAAAACTCAGGATTGGGAAACTTAGAACCACCAATGTAAAATTGAACATGGTTCCATTTCACAGTTCAGATTGGAGTCAAGACTGGAGTAGTTTCGGAGTAATTAAATCAAATTATGAGAAATGTTGTTTATCCCGAGGGCCTCTTATGAAAGCAGAAGGCAGCCATTTAAATATCCCACAGTGCTGCAATTAAACTAGCTCTTCTGTCTAATCAGGGGGATCCAAGGCCCAAGAGTCTTGTGGGCCCAGATGGCACTTTCATTCAGCACCCCTCCATACGATGACATCTTTCAAGTTCCCTTGATTTCCTATTCTGCTTCCCCTGTCAATTGGTTTAAGACAGTCCAATTATTTACCTTCCTATGGAACAGCTTCTGTGCATGACAGTGATAAAGCTGCATGGCACTGTGGAAATGGGGAACTATCCGGAAAAAAAAACTTAATAATGTGTTTTTAATATAACAGTGCCAGTAGGAGCTGAATGAGGGATCAAAGAGAACTCCATATGGAGTACTGAGATTCAGCGTGGACCAAAGCCAGATGCTGCTTTAATTGGGATGCAGAACATAAGGCAGGTGTGATGAACTCCAGAGCAAACACTTTCTTTCATCCATTCACTTGAATATTAGTGGAGAAAGGCAGATGAAGTACAGAAGTTTAGCTAGATTCCTATTTAATTCTGCAGAAGTAGCCGCTTTGTCCTGCCCTTTTTATATTGTTTTTTTTTAAATAAGAGAGTTGCCCCAGGGGACACCAGGATGATCAAAGCCTTAACAGATTTTAGCAACACATTTCTCCCTTCTGAAAACAAGAGATGGGTAGAAACAGTGATAACTTTTTGTCTGCATAGGGAACCCCCAAAACATGAGCTTAATTCACCCCCAAGAACTGATGTGAAGAAGACAAACTGAGAAACACAAGTGTATTTGTGTTAAGTTTTATAAACAGGAACAGTTATAAAACAGTAACAAACATTTCATAGGAAACAATCACAATAACAAAAAGATTTATTGAACAAGATTTGAACCTATGCACACAGAGTGAATTTGGGTAAAAAAAAAAATCAGGATTTGAAAATCAGGTGAGTTAGCTTACCCAGTTAAGAGTTCAAGGGTTAGGACTTATTTTTTTATTTTTAATCCTTATGTACATGTTTGTAAAAGCACCATTGTCAAGTTAAACTTGGAATCATTCCAAAGCGTGTATGGCTCTATACATGCTAGAAAAGGCACTCGAAATAATAATAACAGTTTTATTTGGCATTCACTCCTTTGGGGGTTACAAGGGTGGAAGAAGTGCAATCACTTTCTTGCTACATCCCAGTTGGTTTCTAGTCATCATCACCAACTTAATAATGGTGAACATCTCATGAAAGTAGCCTGTTCTGCAAATATAAGCTCCGCCCATAAATTTTATAACCTGCTGGTTAGATTTTACCACAACAGAGATTAAGAAACCTGTGGCTCTCCAGATGATGGACCACAACAACCATGTTTCGATGGCGATTTAGATCAAAATCCAATAGCTGAAGGACCACAGAAGACCCATTCTATCCACAGACACAATCATGCCATTACCCTTCCATTCAATAAGGTAGACATTATGGCATGGTCACGTCTGTGGAGGGAATAGGGAAAGACTGGGCTAGTAAAAATGTTGCTACTCTTCCTGTTGGCTAGAGTTAGCAATCTTCAAGAGGTGATTTCTGACATACGATCTTGTGCAACAAGAGTGACCCAAATAGTTTCAATCATAACTTAAGGTCAAATAGATTTCAGTGAGAAAGCTGACGTCTTGTGAATACTTAATTTGTTTTTTTTTTAAATGCAGTATTACCCTTTGAAATTGCTGGGGACCTTTATAGAATATTCTGGGCACCACAGGTGACCATAATTATGGCAAGGGTGAATGTCCAACTATGGCTTTGAAGGGTCCATCCTGGATCTCAGATTAAGGAGAGGATAGAAGAGCAGCTTTCCCTTCTTGAGACAAACAACCTTAACTAGAGAAAGGATAAACTAAATACAATAAATTTCTCGTACAGCATACGTACAAAAAAATGGCAACATCTTGAAGGAGGAGCACCGCAAATCAGAACATGTATGCCATGCGTTTCTATTGCAACAAACCATCGTAAGCTACCTTGATGTGGTTGTATTGTACCCCTGAGTTAAGTTTCTACAAAGGCCGAAAGATGCTTGCTTCAGATTTGCTGCCAAGTAGAGCAAATTGCCTTCTCAATCCAGAGGAGGATCCAGCTATGGCTTAGCATTGAGACAGGGACAAAATCAGCTTCAAAGATGGTGACAGACATCCCAGACATTAATCCATTTGTTCCGGCAAAATTTGGAGGTAGCTGTCAAGATCTTCTAAAGAAAACTGCCTTCGTTGATAAAGTGGAAATACATTAATGTGTGTTCCTTAAATCCTTTCTCTTCTCCTTCTTTAAGTCATCCGTGGCCCTTCCCAAAGAGAGGAAAGGAGATAGACCCATCTGGTTTGGACACTTGAAAAGCAATCTTTAAAAAAATATATATAGCGGGCTACCCAAAGATGTTTGCAGACAGGAGGAAACATATTAAAGAACCCTGGGCCGGCTTGTGCTCTGGCTCTGCTAAAAGCAGAAGGGGAGGAAGACAACGCAGCAACATCCCAAGCACACACATATATACCCACGCATCCTTCAGAGGCAACCTTGTGGTGTGGTGAGGGGGACGGTAGAGCCCGAATCATAATCCAGATCCACCGTGGTGTGAGCACTTGTGCTGAGGTTGCTCAAGGAGGTACCGGTTCCCAAGTGCTGACGGTCCCGCAGACTCTGGATGTAACTCTTCGGGGAGCAAGCGGAAAATGAAGATTATGAGATTACCTCAGGGAAATGGGAATCATGTATTCTCTTCAATGAGTGGGTACTGGCAGGGGTGTGGGGGTGTCGCATTAGGAACTCGCTCACATTTTTTAAAAGCATCTCACTCTAGCCCAGGGGTCTGCAACCTTAAACACTCAAAGAGTCATTTGGACCTCTTTCCCTCAGAAAAGTGGGAAAAAACACCGGGAGCCAATAATTTAACAACCGGTGTGACTAGGCGGGCGTGGCCAACTCGACGTCACTCACTCCCACCCAGTCACCTCCTGCCCTGGAATATGGAGCGAGTCTCCATCCCCCTTACCTTCTTAGGCCAGGCAAGGAGTGACGGGGAAGGGTGGGGTGGGACCAGTCAGTGGTGGGATCAGCCGACAGGGAGTCACAGCAGAGGGCCGAAAGAGCTGCATGTGGCTCCAAAGCCGCAGGCTGCAGATCCATGCTCTAGCCACTTTTGATGTGAGGAAGGGCCTCCAAAGGCAGAACAATAGGATGGATGACGTGATTACAGGTAGTCCTCGACTTATGACAATTGTGCCCCAAAGTGAATTTTGCTCCATTTTACAACCTTTCTTGTAACAGTTGTTAAGTGAATCACGGCAGTTGTTAAGTTAGTAACATGGTTGTTACATGAATTTGGCTTCCCTTTTGACTTTCCTTGTCGGATGGATACGAAAGGGGATTGTATGACTCCGGGATATTGCATTTTATAGGGTGTGTCAAATTTTTCAATGTTCATATTTCCAAATTTTAAGGGGTGCTCAAAAGTTGTGACATGCCTTGGGGATTGTAAAGATATTTTGGTTACTTTAATATAATTTAGATGTGGTTGGTAAGTAACTGCATAAATATCGTAACTTTTTAACATTTTGTTTGCTTCATTACTGCAACTGTCATAAATATGAACCAGTTGCCAAGCCTGTTGATCACATGGTCGTAGGGATGCTGCAAAGGTTGTGACTTTTTTTCGGTGCTGCTGTAACTTCAGTCACTAAACGAATGGTTGTAAGTCGAGGGCGATCTTTATTATTTATTAGATTTTTATCCTGCCACTGTTAATTTATAAGTATTTGTGGTGGCAAACATATTGTACTTAATACTCCTTCCTCCTCCTATTTTTCCCACCCCTGTGAGGGAGTTTGGGCTGAGAGGGGCCGGGCCAAGGTTTCTTTGTATCAGATTCCTGGGATCTGTCCCAAACATTCAATAGTCAAAAAACACTGTGATACTAAGTAAAGCAGGGAAGTGCAACACGTCCTGAATCCAAAACAGAAAAGTCAGAATTCCTTCTTTCAATGCATTGCCGACTATGTGGCAGTCACCATCAATCTCAGGCGGATCTAAACGGAGATTAGACATGAGTGGCGGAATATGCTTCTAATATGACTATCTCATAGCAAACTGCCTGTTTATTTATTTCAAAATTTGATAGACTGGTTAGTCTAGGGGGCTCACATCTCCCAAAACATGAATGAGTGATAAAGATTTTGCAGTTTTAAGCAGACAAAGCCCTTTTGGCTCTTCTAACTCTTAAGGTTCCACTATGAGTCCAAATATTACTTTGTTTCACTGGTGATATGTTTCCAATCAAGCAAGGAGAGAATTTAGTCAATCTGTTCAGAAGGTCCTCTGGGCATAACCAAGAACGCTTTGGTGCTCCTGGGTGGCAATTTTCCCAGAATGGAGAGAACAGAGACCCTCCCATTCAAAGGCCCTTGGGTTAAAGAAGGAAAGAAATGTTTCCCTCCTGCGAAACACTTGGTGCTAAATAGCCATCTTGCACATTAACCCTCTTGACTGACAAAGTATTTAAGAGCTGATTTGCTGCTCTTCAAATCAGGAATATTGCCCAAGGGTCTTATATAATATTTGAAAGCCAGCCTCCATGTCTTATTATAGCAGCATACAATGAATGAAAATATGGAATGATTTTGATACATTTTATACTGCTATAATAAAACATGGGTGCAACACAGTTATCAATTAAATCAGCTTCTGCATAAAGCTAAGGTGTGCGTGTATATGCATACATGCAAGCATATATGTATAGTATGAATATGTGAATCTGTATATATGGAGGGCACATTGTAGCACAAATGGAAAAAATGAAATAAAAATCTGGGCGAGAAAGTATATCTTCTGGGGCTGCAAAGGCAATGAAGAAGGGAGCCAAGCAACTCTTCATAGGAAAGGGATTCCCAAACAGGCACAAAAGTTGATCACCATTATCATTTTCGCACCCCAAAGCCATTCTGGAGAAAGCTTGGGAGGCTCCATTGGCTGAGATGGTGGGATTGGTTTCCTAGAAGCTCAGTGATGAAGGGGATGAACAGCCACTGGTCACAGCTACTCACTGGTGCGAGAACGTCTCCGGCACAGCGTTTGATGGCACCGGCCTTGTTCCGGTAGGAGCCTTCATGTGGAGCTTGGCACTGCCTCTTTTTGGCTTCCCGCTGTCGAATCCTTAAGAGTTGCAATTGCTTCTGGCGCCGATTCAGGACCACTGGGCCATAGAAAAGAGATGTGAGACTGGATGATGGAGACTTAGCTTAAAATCCCGCACGGCACCAGCCTAGCCCAGCCCCATTCTGGGAGAAAAAGATAGCTTGAAAGAGAAGCTTTGATTCAGACACTATGGCCTCTGTCTGAAAAAGTTCTGGAACAGGGCAGGGGAAAAATGCAACACTGAGAGTTTGTCTTGTCTCCTACTCCTTCCTTCCTCCATCTCCTTCAAGATCAGAAAGGCTAAAAAAATACATTCTGTTGTTATTATGCTACATAATGCCATATACATACTTAAGATTCTAAAAATCTCAGCTTCCTTATAGGAGAAAAGGCAGAAGCAATTATCTCCCCACCCTCCTCCAATTAGCTACATATTAATTTCACCTTTCTCTCCCCCGCCCCACAATACTGCAGTGGTAACCTCAAAATCTTTACATAATCTTCCTTTATGCATCCACTTACAGGTAGTCCTTGACTTACGACCACAATTGAGCTCAAAGGGTCAAGTGAGTTTTGTCCCATTTTATCACCTTTCTTGCCACAGTTCAGTGAATCGTTGCAGTTGTTAAGTGGATAATGTGGTTGTTAAGTGAATCTGGCTGCTCCCATTGACTTTGCTTATCAGAAGCCATCAGGAAATGTTACTAATGGTGATCAGGTGACACTGCAACCGTCATAAATACATGCCAGTTGCCAAGCATCTGAATTTTGATTACATGTCCATGGGGATGTTGCAACAGTTGTAAGCATGAAAAATAGTCCTAAGTCTTTTTTTTTTTTCAGTGCCTTTGTAACTTTGAATGGTCACTAAATGAATGGTTGTAATTTGAAGACTATCTGTACTTATTTCTGTTTTGTTATATCATGGGCAAGGGCCAGAAAACAAACTATGAGTCCATTATAGCAGGGGTCCCCAACCACCGGGCCGCGCACCGGGACCGGTTCGTGGAACATTTCCTACCGGGCCGCCAGTTTGCTGAGCGCCGCCATCTTGTTTGACGAGAAAGTGCTTCCGGGTGAGCTTTTCTGGTTGGAAAGTGGCGTTTGGGTCCTGAAGGAATCCTCGTGCCTTAGTTTCATCGAAGGGGGAGGGCTTCGAATGAAACTAAGGTGCGAGGATTCTTTCAGCACCCAAGGCAAGGCGAGCCGAGCGACCATCCTGAAGCGAAGCCCATCGACAAAGGTACAAAGGAGGAGTTGAAGGTGGCGGAGAGAAGCGGGGGACGGCTGGCTGGCCGGTCGCTCAGCTCGCCTTGCCTTGTCATGCGTGCTGATGCTGGTACCGGGCTGCGGATCATTTTGTGATGCCAGTACTGGGCCGTGGCACAAAAAAGGTTGGGGGCCACTGCATTATAGCATATCAATGTTTGCATAATGTGACCGAAGAGCTGCATGTACTGTGTGTGTGTTATGATAAGCCATGAATATACTGTATGTATACATAAAATATAAAAATATATACATACAAACGTACAGGTAGTCCTCGACTTACAACAGTTCATTTAGTGACCATTCAAAGTTGCAACAGCATTGAAAAAGTGACATATGACTGCTTTTCACACTTATGACCGTTGCAGCATTCCATCGGTCACATGGCCAAAATTCAGACACTTGGCAACTGACTCATTATGAAACGACTGTAGTCTCCTGGGGTCACGTGATCTCCTTTTGTGACCCTCTGACAAGCCAAGTCAATGCGGAAGCCAGATTCACTTAATGACTGTGTTATTAATTTAATCACAGCAGCGATTCACTTAACAACGGTGGCAAGGAAGCTCGTAAAATGGGGCAAAACTCACTTCACAAATGTCTCGCTTAGCAACCGAAATTTGGGGTTCAATTGTGGTTGTAAGTCGAGGACTGCCTACAAAGGCGGAGGGATGTATTGAAGGAAGCAAATAAAGAAGGAAAAAACAGCAAGACAGAAGCAAGACTTCCTGTCACTCCCTAAAAGCTCCATAGTCAGCTCGGCTTACTCCTTCAGGCAGAGGCAGGATTTCCACTCACCGTCTGTGTGGGAGAAGCCTTCGGCGGTCACTTTCCACTGCAGCAGGATGCCCATCAGGGCAAGGGCAGGCCACGTAGCCAGCACTGCCCAGCCACACCAGCAGAGCAGGGAGGAAGGGGCCAGACGCAGGCGGTCGTAGACATGGTGGCCCAAAGCCAGGTTCTCCACCGCGTAGTCCAAGCAGAGAGTCAGAACGGCAGCCCCAAACACGGCTGTGGAGACCACCGTGAGGACCTTCTGCCAGCGCAGTGCCAAGACGGCACCTAAGAGGGACAAACCCAGCAGGGCCCCGGCAGGGACCCATCCGTTGGGCAGTTCGTAAAAAGGCTCGGTGGCTACCAGCCCAGCGGTGGCCACCAGCAAGCCAAGCAGAAGCCCCGTCAGAAACAACCCCACAGAGTGCACCAGCATCGTAACCAAGCCGCACAAGACTCCGATGCCCAGGGCAATGCCAGCGCTGACCTCCAAGCTGAGCTGGGTGTCCAAGATACGCTCCTTGTAGCAAAGCAGAAAGATCACAGCGGAGCCGAAGAGGAGGCCGGAGAGAAACATGATGGCCTTGAAACACCGATACCCTATTGACAGGAAAGAGAGAAATAAGAACGACCAAGGCAAGTGAACGCAGGCAAACCCTTTTATGAATAGGAGGGCAGGTTAAGAGGGCAACTGAAGAAACATTATGTCCAAAAACTCCTGAAGGATCAGTTAATCCTCAATAGTACGAAAGATGACCAAAGAAACCCTTTTGTCATAATTATTTAGAACAAGGGTTTCAGGCAATTCGTAATGTGGGCTTGCTTGCTATCATTATTATTTCAAAGCAATTTTTGGAACTTGATGTTATTTGAAAGATATGGACGACACTGTGCTCACTGGCGCTTGGTTATTTAGCTCAATGGAAGCATGTGTTGAAAAGGGGAAAATGTAATTGATGACTTTAAAACTACAGCCTTTTTTAGTGATTCTTTTCAGGGCTATGGGTCAAGAGAATAAGAATAAAAGATAATCTTTTACTCTCACTGTGCACTCCAAATGAACCACTAGCACTCAGAACGGATAATTTAAAAAGAAAGATGGTTTTGTTCTTCTTCCAGATGAGAATACCTCCAATCCTCACAGTGGAAGAAAGGACGGAAAAACTGGTGGAGCTTGCAGAGGCGGTCAAATTTTACTGCTTTAATCGAAGAAAACATCTAGTTTTGTTTCTACTATCCTTGGAAACTCCTTCACAACTTGGGTGCTTGGGACAGAAAAAAATAAAAGATTTTTGGGATTTGCTGATCAGGAAAATCTGTTGTTATAGAAATGGCTAGTAAACTAAGTATGTGAAAGTAAAAAGTTGAAGCTGAACCCTATTATTTTTATTCTATTGCACTGAAAAAAGTTGGACCCTTTGTTCTTTTTTTCCCCCTACCCCATACTTCTCTTTTTCCCCTTTCCCCTTCTCCATTTCCCCACTATCTTCATTTTCATTTGTTTATTATAAAATGTAACAAAAATTGATGAAAAACCAAATAAAGACTATCTATTCTACCCCAGCCCGTTCTGTGTCTTTCTTGCTTCATTTTGGCTTGCTATATTAACTAATCTGCATCCATTCCCACGTACTTGTATCTAGCTGCAACTCTTATTTTCTGAGAGGTAAAGAATTAGTTGTTCCCACTCTTCTTCTGTTCCTTTCAAGGTGGATATGAAGCACACTGAAAAGCAAGTCTTCCACTCCAACAGAAGAAAATATTTGTAGCTCAGGGTTGAACTGTGGGGCCGTTGGTGCTCTCAAGGGCTTGATTTTTTTTCTTGCAAATGTTTCATGACCCAACTAAGTAACCTCATCAGTGCTAGAAGGAAACGGGGTTTGTTCTAGCACTGATGATGTTACTTAGTTGGGTTATAAAACAACTGCAAGAAAACAACCAAGGTCACAGAGCACCAGCAACCCCACACTGTTACTATCAATTCAACAAACTTTTCAGAAAGTGCAAGACAGTCTCCAGCTGACTAAATTTTGGCCCTAAAGCAGGGGTGACAAAACTTGCGGCCAATGGACCGGATGTATCATGCACTGGCTATGCCTACCACCATTTTAGCAAAGGAGGAGAAAGTGGCGATATCCCTTTGACATCCCTGGCCTAAAGCTTCCCTTCCTTATGAGAGGAAGGCATGAAATCATGGAGAAAGCACAACCTTAGACTCCTTCCCCAGCTGTTGGTGATGCTTGCTGGGAATTCTGGGAGTTGTTGTCCCAACAGGTGTCAGGCAGCAACTTTGCTAACATAGATTCACAGGTTCACTGGCAGAGCATGGAAGAATAATTTCAGTGATTGGAAAGATAACACATGAACACTGGAATCAAAGGTTTTGCTTTGTCATCTTCTAAGCTGTGGTTATATATCTGATGCCCAACACAGGGAGATCTATCTGATAAGCTAGTTAAAATATTTTGCCAATTACTTGTAATAATGTGTGCATCTCAAGAATATGCGTATAATGCTGCAGAAACTGTAATTCTGAAATTGTTTTGGACCTGGAGCAGCACAACACATCAAGCTGGAGCTTCTACATATAAAAAAAAAAGTTTCAGTCAACAGGAAAATGTACATCTTGCCTTTTGGAAGTGCCATGCAAACTTTCTGCCTTCCTGCTCTATAGAAAGGCATGTGTTTGAATCATGCAATCCTTATTACCCCACAAAAATGTCCCCCTTCTCCTTTACTCACCGAAACAGCAGTAAGCCACTCCAAAAATGCAGCAGAGGGCACAAACCACACAGGGCACCACTTCATAGTGCCTTTCTGAAAGGAGACTGCAAGGGTCCAAAGCGGGCTCAGTGGGCTCTGCTGCCCCTTGATTAAAACCCCGGGGATCAAGAGAAACAGCAACCGGTAGCAGCAAGGTCGGATCCATGCTCAGGAGCCAGGAAAAAATGCTTAGCTTGCCAGAGCCATCCAAATGGGAAAAGCCACCTAGAGAGAGAATTTGGTTAGAGAGGAAAGAGAATCCTAGAGGGCTCAAATCCACCAAACCCCTCTTCCCAAAGTTGCACAATTAGGACCAAGACCTGGCTGACATATTACGCCACACTATAAATTTGATTTGTAACGTAGTCCTCAACTTACAACCATTTATTCAGAGACTGTTCAAAGTTACAACGGCAGTGAAACAACTAATTTATGACCATTTTTTCACACGACCATTGCAGAATCCTTGTGGTCACAGAACTACAATTTGGACACTTGGCAGCTGGCTCCTGTTTATAATGGTTGCAGTATCCCAGGGTTATGGGATAGCCTTTTGCGACCTAGAAGCAATGTCAGCGGGGAAGCCAGATTCGCTTAACCACCGTGTTTACTGCAGTGATTTGCTTAACTGCAGCAAGAGAGGTTGTAAAATGGAGCAAAACTCACTTAACGAATGCCTTGCTTAGCAACATAAACTTGGGGCTTAATTGTGGTCGTAGGTCAAGGAGTACCCGTATTAACTTAGCTTGGTGTGAGAACCCAGCCCCAAATTTTCTTTAGTTTGTTCAGGTGAAGCATTCAAGAAAATCTGAATGTGAAGCTGAGGCTTATCTGCAAAGATGCCCCTAAGCCCTGTCCTGCTTGCCCCATCGCTGTCTCCCTTTCTCCTCTGGTGTCCCACAACCCTTGCCTTAAAGACTGGTGTTTTTTTCATCTCATTCATCATTTGACAGTAATCCCAGGAAGTGGACCCTTTCTCTGAATTTTGGTGAGGTCTTTGGTCTAGGACAGGGGTCCCCAAACTTGGCAACTTTTAAGACTTGTGGACTTCAACTCCCAGAATTTTCTGGGAGTTGAAGTCCACAAGCCTTAAAATTGCCAAGTTTGGAGACCTCTGCCCCGGGAGGTATTTACTACTGTGCACATCATTCTTTCTACCCAATGCCTCTGACAGTCCTAGAAGTACTCAGGGGAAGCAAAGATGCTGGATGCGTCTGCAATTTCCACGGTAGGGATTTTGCTATGAACCGCATTTAGCTGACAAAATGTCAAAAAGGTGAAATGGATATGATGAAGTCACAAGCAATTGCCTTGGCATGAGGCACTTGATATTATTCCTAATGCTGGTTCATCCCATCGCTCATATTAAACTCAAGGCAGCTGCATTTTGTGTTTCTTTGCTGCTTTCACCTCTCTATCGCCGGCTGGGGTATTGGACACCAGCCCTACAAACCTGGGATACCTGGGGCAGAGAGAAGAATATGGCTTCTTTACATCCTTAATTCAGTTCCACTTGGGATTGATAGCTAGTTGTTGTTTTTTTAAATGAGAGGATAACATTGAAAACAACAGAGGAAAAACAGAAATGTCAAAATGTCCAGAACTGGAAGCTGCCTAGAGTGATTTGAAAGACAGTTATATAAATATTTTAAACTAACAAATAAAATGACACCAAAACTTTTATGATGCGGTTTAGCTAAAATGTCAATTCTCCAGCCAAAATCAATGACAAATTATCTAGTTTTCTTCAGAGTGTTGCCCAAATGCAGCAGTCATTCATGCTTGTGTTTCTGGAATTCCCAAGCACTGCAGCTCATGGTTAGTCCTTGATTTACAACAGTTCGTTTAGTGCTGTTCAAAGTTAAAACGGTGATAAAAAAGTGACATCTGTTTTTCACACTTACAACCATTGCAGTATCCCTGTGGTCACATGATCAAAATCCATATGCTTGACATATGAACATATGAATATAAATATGACTGACTCATATTCATGATGGATGCAGTTTCCTGAGGCCTTTTGGTCCTCTTTTGTGACCTTCTGACAAGCAAAGTCAATGGGGAAGCCAGATTCACTTAGCAATCAGGTTACTAACTTTACAACTCAATGATTCACTTAATAACTATGGCAAGAAAGTTTGTAAAGTGGGGACAAAACTCTCTTAACAACTGTCTTGCTTAGCAATGGTAATTTTGGACCCACTTGTGATCTTGAGGACTACCTGCAGCAAAAAAGTGGCTGGGAATCCAAGGCCCTATGTCCTAAAGCATGAAAGACACAAGATGGGAGATGGCTCCTGTCACCAAAGAAAAGTGCTGGGCTAGAGGGGCCATTTGGTCTAGTCCAGTGTGGCTCCTCCTGGGTTCAGATGGGCCCAACTGCCTTATGTCTTCACCCCCAATTCCCAAATCCTTCCCTTCTTATTCTCATTGCCCAAGAGTTAAATGGTCCCCACGAAGCAAGCACGAATAATCTCACCACCCCAGCTAGTATTGACAAAACGCCTCACTCTGCGGCCCTCTAACCAAATCTGGCAACGAACGCAGCAAATCTGAGCCAACGTTTATGCATTCAAACTGGAATCTCTCCTCTCATCCCCGTGGAAGTTTATAAGGACATTTAAATTCAACGGCTATTGAAATCTGGTCATCAGCCAGGAGTTTGGAGTCCTATTCCCAGCTCTGTCAGGAAAAGGGGAAGCTTTGTTAATTGGAGCAGAAGGTAAAAGTGGGAGCCAGAACTTCTGGGCTCCCTTCCCAGCTTCAGGGGGGGACGGTGTCCACCATTGTTCAGATGGGTCTTATTTAGAGAGGGGAGGAAGGCAAGGAAATGTAGGCAATTTAAGACACTCTGTAATTAAGATGTCCATAATCCAGCATACTACAGCCTCACGGGACCCTTATACGTTATCTTATTTTCCTGCAGAATCATCTCTAGTTCTACTCAGCTTTTTCAGCTGACTCCACTTTTACTTAACTATTTACTATCCATGTTTAGCATTTCTGTCACTGCTCAAACAATCAGTGCAGACAAACATCGGATCTTCAGCACAGGAGTTCAGGGAACTTTTGAGGGGGCTATATAAAGGTACCCTAATCCTACTTCAGCTGCACTTTTGCAAATAAAAATATTCTGTAAAATATGGCATCAGACTTTTTTTTTGGGGGGGGGGTCAATCCAGGAAAAACAAAAAATATTTTTTATTTATTTTTCAATTTTTAAAACAACCCTCTCCCTCAGAAATGCATTTGCACAGAAGTTCTTAGAATAACTTCTTCTGTGCAAGAGAATCAAATAGCTAAGGCTAGTTCTGAAGTCTTAGAGCTTACATATTTCATATATAACCATAGCAGATTATTCCTGTCTTAAAATTACTTTTTTTTTTCTCCACAAATATCTATCCATAATCATGCAAGGAAAGAATTTCTAAAATCTACAAGATTACCCCCAATCCTGGCAAGATGGCATAAAATAAGGGTTTGGTTCTTTTTAAGCAATTGGCCTCACAAATCACACATTTTTCCTTCCAGGAAAGCAAGCACCTCAGAATCCATGTGAGGACAGCAAAAGATTAAAGTTCATTGAATGAGCAAAAAGACAGTATGAAAGTATAGGAAGCATGAGATTATTTGAAATTAAGCTGTGATTCTTACCTAGGAGCCCCAGTTAATTAAGTCAGTACTTAACACTTCTTTGAGCTGGAAGGCACTGTCTCACACCCATACATCCTCCTTTGGGGGGAACTTTTAGGAGGAGGTCTGGGAAACACATATGTGCCACGTTTCGACCTGCAGCTTGTCCCTACTTTGGCTGCGGGCTTCATGTGCTTGTAAACAAAAAACATCTGCCGAGGTCTCCTTTCCTTCAACCGCGGCTCCTATCCCAGATAGGCGCTGACTTTTAACGGCATGGAATCAAGAGTGCCTGCATCCCTTTAAAATGCCACTCGGCTCCCTTAAGGCGCAGCCAGGGAGGAAAAGAAACAGCTGGGGAGGCTGGGAAGGGATGGATTGTTAGTAAGCTAGTTAAGGATTAACTAGTAGTAAGGATTGTTAGATAGTTAGTAATTCTCAACTGGTTTTTAGGGTGTGCAGCGAAGTTTTGCTGAACAAAACGCAGAGGCTTTTTTTTTTTTTTTTTACAAAGCAACCGTTACCGTAGCCACGTTACAAACGGGATTATTTATTCGTAAGAGAACGTTTCTTACTGTTGGTTTAAAAACACGCCTTTGGTTCCTTTTAAAAGTTGAACTCGAAGAGCGCTTTTCCGCGGAGTCCAAGAGAAGCTCCTTCCACCACTGGCGGGCTCCAAATCCGAGCCCTCCACCTCTTGTAAAAGACACCCCCCCCCCGCCACTCTTTCCTCCAGTCACGTGTCCAAGCCCGACTTTGCAAAAGACACCCTACACACGTTACCCGGGAGGAGGATGCAAAAAAAAAAAAACCCTTCCCCCGAACTCCTTCTGTCCTCCGAACAAGGAGAAGCCCGGGTCCCTGGCAAGGACAGCGAAGAGAGGAAGGGATCGCCGCTATTAGGGGTTGATCAACGGCCGTCAGAACTCGCATCCACATCGACGGAAACCCAAGTATAACAAGGTTGGGGTGGGATGGGGAGGGGGGACGGGGGGTGGGGAGAGAGGTAGGGGAAAGTCCACGCTAAGACTTACCAGTCTGGGGAAAAGTTCCCACCGCCGCGCACAGCCACGATCGCTCAGCAAAAGCAACATTCCTCCCCCCCAACCCCCGGTCAGACTCCACCCCTGCCGGAGACTCCCAAGATCGGCCGCAAAAAAAACAACGAGCCCTTCCCCGGAGGGTCGAAAATGTCCCCCACCCCCTCTTATAGTCGCCCCGCTGCCCCTCCCGTGGCAAACTCGCGAAAGAAGTCTTCGCCGCGACAGCTGAAAAGTGACCTCAGGAGGCGGGAAGGAGGGGCTAGCGGAAAAGTTGGCGGGGGGGGGGGG